TTTTTGAAAATTGTGCTTCAACACTGATACAGTGATTTAGAAGTCTGGCTTATTTGCTTTTTCAGCTGTCACAGCTGAACTAGGAAGAATCTGTAGACTATAATTACCAGCATCCACAAAATACCATTTTCAAGTCACTGTCATAATTGGTAGGTGAAAAGGTGTTGTTTAACTCTTCATTTCCTTACACTCAGAAGTTTTCTCCCTAACCCTGAAAAAACTTGCAAATGAAAAAAAAAATGTCCTTGGGTCCTGGGATTGCTACCTCATACAGGCTCTTCTGGATTTCCCCTAATTGTTAATAAAAGACTGGGCCAAGCAGGCCCCCAGGGCTCTTGGCTCAAGTGAACCAGGTTCTTTCCTGAGGGAGCTGGCTTCTAATGATAGGGATCAGATTGGCTCCTTCTTATCACTGGCTTTCTATGCCCTTATCCCAGGGCCCTGGGGAAACACTCAAAGCTTAGGTTTAGTTCCCCAAAAGAGATTATTTGAAAGATCCACAGTGAATAAGGTAGATAAGATGTAGGGCAGCCATTAATTTCCTCAACTACAGAAGGAAACTCATAAACTGTCATTGACAGAAATTTAAAACAAGGTCAAGAAACCTATTATGCTATTCTAGAAGTTTGATACTTAAAACATAAAACATTTTGAAGTATTGCTGTCTTCACTTAGGCTTTGCACTTTCCGACTGACTCTGTCACTGTGCATGTCTTGGGACCAGCCAGGACTGTTGATTATCTTTTTTTTCAAGAAGCCTATAGTTGTAGAAATTTCTTCCTGTTGAGCTTAGAATTAGATTAGATTAAATAAGCATTCATTAGGAATTTACTATGTGCCAGGTACCTAGCTAAAATGGGAATATAAATATATTCCTGTCTTCCAGGAACTTATATTCAAAACTGTAGGTGGGGGGCAGAGCTAGGCCTGAGTAGGAGGGAACATGGCTGGTGTGGGTGCTTCCTCAAATGCAGGTTCTAAGGAGAAAGTCACAAAGTAGCGGAGGAAGCAGCAGGGTGAGGATCCCCTTTCCCATATTCAAGGTTTGAGAGAGGCTTAAACAGTCCCTACAAGACTGCAGACTGAAAGAGAATTACAGAGGATGAAATCACTCCTTTTAAGGTGTACGGGATGGGGGTGTCTGTAAAAGGATACCTACTGCGTGCCAGGTACTGTCCTAGGTGCTGTTTTTTTTTGGGGGGGCTGGGGGTTGTTGTTGTTTGTTTGTTTTTACAAATAATTATCTCATGTTATCCTCACAACAACCCTGGTAGGTAGGTGCTATTATTAACCCCATTTTACAGTTTAGGAAACTGAGATTAGGGACTTACCCAGGGTTGCATAGCTATTAAATATCTGAGGCTGTATTTGAATTCAGGTCTAGCTGAGTCCAAGACAAGTGCTTTATCTGTTGGGCTACCAACTACCATTTGTCCCAGCTTAGTGGCCTTGACATGACAGTCAGGCAGTGGTAGGAGGAACGCAGGAAACATGGGATCAGTGAAGAGATTGCTTCATTATTCCAAAGTGCAAGTCTTCCAGTAGTAAACCACATATGTTAGTAAAAGTGGCTGAGGTGCTCAGCTCAGCTTTTGTCTTTGTAGCCACAGTTCCTGGTACATAGTAGGTGCTTAATAAATACTTGTCAGATTGTGGCTTCAGCAAAACAGAATTTGAATCCAGGTCTGTCTGATAAAAAGGTTGGTTGTCTATCCATTAAGACATGCTACTTTTCTTTTAATTAGTTTTATATTTTTATTGATACCTTTTTTACATTAAATTTATATTCCTCCCCCTCCTATACTCAGCAAGACATCCCTTATAACAACAATAACAAAAGGCACTTTATCAAAACTAACCAGCACAACCATCAAGGCTGACAGAATATACCATATTCCATCAAAACTGCTTGGTACTGGCTAAGAAATAGAGTGGTGGATCAGTGGAATAGGTTAAGTATGCAAGACACAATAGTCAGTGATTATAGTAATCTATTATTTGATAAACCCAAAGACCCCAGCTTCTGGGATAAGAACTTACTCTTTGACAAAAACTGCTGGGAAAACTGGAAAAGAGTATGGCAGAAACTAGGCATAGATCAAAATCTAATGCCATATACCAAAATAAAGTCCAAATGGGCTCATGATTTAGATATAAAGGCTGATACTGTAAGCAAATTGGGAGAGCAAGGAATAGTTTACCTGTCAGATTTATGGAGAACAGAAGAATTCGTGACCAAACAGGAGATAGAGAACATTACAAAAAAGCAAAATGGATGACTTTGATTACATTAAATTGAAAAGGTTTTACACAAACAAAGCCAATGCAACCAAGATTAGAAGGAAAGTAGAAAATTGGGAGAGAATTTTTACAACCAATCTCTCTGATAAGGGCCTCATTTCTAAAATATATAGAGAATTAAGAGTATACGATATTCTGTACTCATAGTCCCCTGTCTCTGCAGTGAGGTGTATTTTCTCAACTCTTCTCTGAAGTCAAGTCTGATCATCATAACTGCACAGCATTTAGTTTTGTGTTTTCATTCATTCTATTTCATCACTGTAGACATTGGGTATATTGTTTTTCTTGCTCTGCTTACTCCACTCTGCATCAGTTCATATGTCTTTCCATGCTTTTCTGAATTCCTTATATTATTTTTATGGCATAATATTCCATTGTAATCTTGTACCCTTAGTCATTTCCTAATTGATGGGCACCTACTTTGTTTCTAGTTCTTCCCTACTATGAAAAGTACAACTATGTACACTTAAATATAATTGGGACCTTTCCTTCTGCCCTTGAACTCCTTGGAGAATATGCTCAGCAGAAATTTCTTTGTCATAAGTTATAATCATTTTATACTGGCAGCTAGGTAGCACAGTGAATAGAGCACTAGGCTTGGAGTCAGAAACACCTGACTTCAAATTTAGCCTCAAACACTAGTTCTGTAATCTTGGGCAAATCACTTAACCTCTGTCTGCCTCAATTTCTCCAACTGTAAAATGGGGATAATAATAACATCCACCTCCCAGGGTAGATATATCTCATATCAAATGAGATATTTGTAAATCGCTCAGTTAATGCTTGGCACATAAGATATGCTACATAAATGCTTATTTCCATCTCCTTTCTCCATTTTTTAAAACATCATTCCAAATTACTTTCCAGAATGTTCAGACAAATCCACAGATCAACTGACAACCAACAATTTAATAATATGCCTGTCTTTCCATAATCATTCCTGCATTGACTTTTCATCTTTTCTTATTTTTACCAGTGTACTCATTGCAAAATGAAACTTCAGAGTTGCTTTGCTGCATTTCTGTTTTGATTAATAATGGCTAGCATTATTTTATATTTATTTTGAATTATTTGCAATTCTTTTTTTGAAACTTTTTGTTCATTTCTAACCAGTAAATCACTGGAGAATAACTCCATAGTTTTTTGTTAATTCCTTATATAGTGGGTATCAGACCGTTGCTAGAGATTTTTGATGAAAGATTTTTTTCTGTATCAGTAATTTCCCCTTTTATTCAAGCTTCATTGATTTTGTTGGTGTAAAAGCTTTTCAATTTCATGCAACCACTTTAGAACCCTTTCCCCTATAATGTTATTTAATGAAACAAGAAGTAGACATCATGATTTCATCTTAACTTCAATTCATTTCAACAAGCCCTTACTATGTGTAAGACTCTATTCTAGCATTAGGCATAGAAAGATAGAAGTAAAAAAAAAATAGTTCAGCAGTTAACATTCTAATGGGCAAAAAATTAAAAAACTATTTAGATATTGTATTGATACAATCCTTTTTACATATTGTTAAGAATAGTACAGTAATGTCAGGTTTTAAAGCTGGATGGGACCTCGAAAACCATCTACCCCAACCTCCTTATTTTATAAATAAAGAAATTGAGGATGAGGGAAGATAAGTGAGTTAAGACCACATGGATAAAAGTAAATATGAGGTGTAGAATATGAATCCAGATCATCTATCTTAGCTAATGATCCTTTAAAAAAATAAAATTTTATTGATATCTTTTGCTCTTACTTATTTTCTCATATTTCTCCAATTCCCTTTTCCCAGATTGTCATTTCATATAACAAAAAAATTTTTTAAGAGACAAAAAAGAGGAAAAAAAATCAGTGAAGTCAACACATCAAAAAAAAAAAAAATCTGAAAGTAATGCATGTTGCACACCCCTGGTAATCTCATCTCTGGAAATAAGTTGGAGGTTCCTTCTCTTATCTCTTCACTGGGGTCGTGCTTGCTTCTTTGTAATTTTTACAAACATTTACTTTCAGTTGTTTTGTGGTAATTTTTGTTTCTATTTACATCATTGTAGTCATTGTCCATATTTTTTTCCAGTGCACTTTCCAGTGCTCTGCTTTACTACAGGATCAATGACATGCACAGGAACCTGGGACTTGGCTCTTTTAGATTTTAGCACCATGTTAATAAGGCAAAAGTTTGATTCCTTAGGCAAATCAGTTATGTTCTCCCTGTTTAATGGTTACAGACTACACTGCTGACATAATGAAACATGCTGCTGGTGACAAGGGTAGACGATGTAAGAAAATGGTGAGAACATAAATGCATTCCCAATGAAGAAAGAACAGCTCAAGTTGAATGCACTGCTTATGATTTGTAGAGTCATCTTTCCATATGAAGTGTAGCAAACAATCCATTGATAGACATTATTTTGAGAAATGTCTTCAGATTGTGTCTATATTGGCAAAATCTAGCAGAGACTTTTAACACTTATTCAAGTATGAGTAAGTCTATGAACATGTGAGGTTTTTTTGTTTGTGTTTGTTCTTTGCCAACTTGAACAAATAACCTAGATTCACAGATTGGTTCTTTCAACCCATTAATATTCTTCATCTGGTGGATGAAGGTCTAGTCAACTAGGAATGTGACTAGTTCACCTTTAATATCACATGAGAGTGAAGTGGATTGAATGCAAACCAGGCAGTCACATATATATATTTTTCCCTTCTAGCTTCGGGAACATGAAGTCTCTTTTGAAAACATTCAAAAAGAAGAGCGAGGGGACTGTTTAAAAGAGACTGGGAACCGTGGCTGCAAGACTGGGGCCCGAGGACTGGCAGTGGAAAACCCTCCTAAGCTGTGATATATCACCAAAAAGCTCTTGGTGCCTTTTTGCCTCCTGCAAAAGAAGAGAAGAGGACAAAAAGACAATGTCAATAGCCCTGAAGCAGGTTTTCAATAAAGACAAGACCTTTCGGCCTAAGCGCAAATTTGAACCTGGTACCCAAAGGTTTGAGCTCCACAAAAGGGCACAGGCCTCTCTGAACTCCGGGGTGGATCTGAAGGCAGCAGTGCAGCTACCCAGTGGGGAAGACCAGAATGACTGGGTTGCTGTTCATGTAGTAGACTTCTTCAACCGTATCAACTTGATCTATGGCACGATCTGTGAGTTCTGCACTGAGAGGACCTGTCCTGTGATGTCTGGGGGCCCAAAATATGAGTACCGGTGGCAGGATGACCTTAAGTACAAGAAACCTACTGCACTGCCAGCCCCCCAATATATGAACCTTCTCATGGACTGGATTGAGGTACAGATCAATAATGAAGATATATTTCCTACCAGTGTAGGTAAGTCCAGATATGATGTCTTAGGTGACATTATGACATCTATTCCACTGCTCTGAAATATTACTGCAGTTCCTAGATATTACTTTACATGCTGGATAGCAATGGTACATGTTAGATTTGATCTTTCAAATTTCCTAGAGGCTTGATCCTTTTTTTTTTTTTTGATTGCAGGCATTCAGCCCTGTGCACTTCTTTGTTGATCTGTTAGTTGCAGTTCATCTGCTGCTATTATAGATATTAGCCTGTCAGTACTTCTTGCCAAGTATTGTATCCCAGTGATCTGTGTAGTAATGAAAAAGACCAGGAAGTGAGCATTCTGGAGAAATAAAGAACTGGCTATCCAGTCTTTCCTCTACCTCCTTATTGCCATTAAAAAGAAAAAACAAAACAGCCAGAGCTGTTCATTATAGTACCATTAAAGAAATATAAATCCAGTTCTAGATCTCTAGGGCCCATGCAATGAGAATGAAGTAGTGTTATTTTGATTGTTTCTTCTGTATCATCAGAGTCATAGTACTTATTCATAGTTGGAGGCAGGAGGTGAGGAGACAATCTGATCACCAAACCCATTCTGTTGAATACCCATTATGCCTTTTCAGAAAAGAGACCTAAAATGAATCTGTTCATAGTACATGCTGTGCTGTTCATCGCCTAGGTTCATTCACCATCCCAACCATTATGTAATAATTTCCTAAGCATGCAACACATGCTCATCCTTCAAAGCAAAGTTAAACAAATGTTTCTGAATTCATCAACTTGCCTATGTATTTCTTGTTCCTTTCCTCAGCAGGGTTTGGTTTTCTCTGTTGTGTTTGCCCTGTTTTGCAGGGTGAAAAGCTTTGTGTTTTCCCATCCCCTTCCTCATTAGGGTTTAGTTTTCTCTGTTGCATTTTCTCAAGTTGCAAAGTTTCATTAAGGAAAATTAACCAGTATAATTACCAGTGTCAGAAACCAGTCTTTCCCAAACCAGTCTTCCTCCATTACATGAAGGGGATTTGGGGAGACTAGTAATATTTCTCCCTTTAAAATATGACATATGCTATGATATTGTATACCAAAAGAAATTTACTATGGGATAGGTTTTTTTTCCCATATAAAAACAAGCTTAGCTTTCTCAACTTCGTCCCAGAGTTTCCTAAAGCCCTCTTTATTGTGAGAGACCCATGTCCCTAAGATCTGGGACCAGCATTTATGAGCCTGGAGGTGTTTCATGGCCAAAATAACTTCATAAGCGCTGTCATCATTAATACCATCCTCTTATCTTTTAAAATGCCATTATTAATTGCACTCATCTTTTTTAGCTTATCTTTTAGAAGAAATATTCTCACAGTATTCTTCTCTTTCTTTTCAAATTCCAACTTGCTTTTCTTTCTCTTGATCTTTGGGCAGTCATTGTGAGCCATTGTCATGAAAATTATCCTGATGTCTAGAAAGGATCACGTAAAAAGGGAGCACTTGGTTAATGGGAATATGGAAATCACATTAAGAATGGCAGCATTTAAATCCAAGGCATTTTTCTTTGCTCCTTCCTGAGAATTGAGACAGGCTCGGGCCTCGTTTTTCCCTATGCAAAATAGAGAAAATGGAAAAGGAAAACAGATGACAAATGGTCTTTGCTCTGGATCAGTTTTCCTACATAAGCATTAAAGCACAGTTGTTGGTTTCTGTTGCTGAAAAATAGAAGGAAAGCTTTGATTGGCTCATATATTAACATAAAATAAAATAAAATATAGTAGACCCTTTTTATTTTGGGCTGAAAACTTGTGCTTAAATGAGAGTTTATCAGACAGATGTGACTTCCTTATAATTTGTAGTCTCCTTCACTCTTTCTTCCTATCCCTTACCCCCAGTTTGCTTTGTTAAGAAGCTAACAAATGCCTCTGTCACCAAAAAAAAAAAATGGGAACAACAGATCATCAAATTCCCCAATCCAGTAATGACTTCAAAAGCAGGAACTGCTTCCTCTTGAGAAAAGCATCACAGTTTAACATCCTTCAGTGATAATGACTAAGAGAATAATAGAAAGGGAAAATCTTGTCACAGTCCCATGTCTGTTTAGTTGTAATAAGGTGAATTTAGAGAGATGGGGTTGCTTGGTTTTCTGTTAGATAATAAGATAATGCTTTGGATGTGAACCTCTGAGAGAGTTGAGGAGAAAAACAAGGCTTTGCCAATAAATAATTGCACTTTTTCCCCACCTGTTTTTTGGGGGATCAGAGATCATAGAAGGATAGAGTTGAAATGGATTGGAATGATCACTGGATCCAGAGATTCTTAAATTTTTTTGTATTGTGGTCCCTTTTGTCAATCTGGTGAAACCTATGAACTCTTTCTCCCAGTAGTGTTTTTAGAGGCACAAAATAAAATGCATAGGATCACAGTGATATTTAAATACAGTTATCAAATTTTTTTAAATGAATTCAGTGACTTCAAGTTAAGGATTCTTGATCTAATCCACCTGTTCATTTTACAGATGAGCAAAATGAAGACCAGAGAATTGAAATAGCTTGCCAAAGGCACAAAGAACATGCATGAAAGAGTTGCAGTATCCCATTTAAGCCAAAAGGACAATTTTCCCCTCTTCAGTCTTTGTTCATTTGGTGAAGGTTAGTCCCAGGGTGAAATTTGAGATGGAGTTAGTTAGTCTGGATGTCCCAGAGGAGATGTCCTTCACAGCCAATAAGCAAGAAGATACTAGGGAGAAGGACAAGATGCTTAGGTAATAGCACCAGTGAGCCCCCATTTTTTCCCTTCTGTTGTAAAAAAAGAAAAAAATTGTCAGGCATTGTAATTGAGTATGAAAGCTTAACTTTAAGATGCTTAATGGGTTTTCAGCTCTGATTAAGGTATTGTGGCAGCATGTCTTACTTCAAGACTAAAGGCTGCCAGAATATACTAGCTGTACAGTAAAACTAGTTCCATATCTATAAACCGTGAAACAATGGACAAATCACTTAATTTCTCTGAACCCCAATTCCCTTATTTGTAAAATGTAAAATTTATAGTATTTAGACTACCTGCCTCACACAGATATGAGGAAATCACTTTGTAATCCTTAAAGGCCTATACAAATGTAAGCCATTATTATTGCAGATTGAGACTCAGTATTAGGAGGCAGTTGATATTTTGCCAGACACTTGATTATCTGAAATCTCCCAGAGGAAGGCAGGCTAACATTTAAGAAGCATCTTGTAATATATTTAGTTTTTGTAATTTCTATAGACAATTGTATTTTTGGTGCTTTTTCACAGCATTTGCTGTTTTCATCTGAAAAAATCTCCCATGGGACAGGAATGGTTTAAACAAAAATTCTGTGAAATTTGGGAGGATCTATGGAAATTATTTGTGGATCTGATTTATTAAAAGGATTTACTCTGCGACGATTGGATTCAGACGCCTCTCCTGTATTTGGTTATCTATGGAATAGAATGAAAACAATGTTAAATAACCACCCAATATAACAATACATGGCTAGTTGGCCTAACTCTCTTTGCATGACTTCTGACAAAGAGGTCTAGGGGATCCATACTCAGGTGTGGTAGGAAGCAGGAAAAAAGGGATGATGGAGATATAAAACACATGCAAGACAGAATTTGGCCTATCTAGCAAGGCAAATTGCTGGCTGTCCTTACCTACCCTGTGATCACCATTACCTGTGCTATGTAATATTAATAGGTCTTTATCTCAGGTGACAAGTTGTTATATCTCAGTACCAGCTGGAAAGGGTAATTGGATACTTCATATTATGTGGAAGCCAGAGGTTAAAAACATTAATGCTTCAAAAATAAAATTATTAGCATCTTTTAACTGTTTTAACCATGATTTCCAGTATTTAATCTACCAATAGTAGCATTAAAACCCACAAATTGAGGTAAGGAATAAAAACAGCTAGTCTGGAGACCCTAATTTTACTACACACTTGGCTAGTAAAATGGAATTATTAACAAAACATAATTTTGTAATTAGTAAATTCAACTTAGTAATTCATTGAGCATTTATGAATTACTTTTTGTGTTACAAGACACAATGCTAGGCAATAGGGATACAAAGACAAAAATGAAAAACAAGCCTTTGAGAATTCACATTCTGCTAGGAAACACTGTTCCCTCTGTTTTTGGTCATGTAGCGTATGGGAGTTGAGATTGGGCACGTGAGGCAGAGCGACCTAATTTACTCTGGTGACCAGGATCTAGGATACTTGGAGTTTGTAGATGTATTGCACGTAACCTGTGTGGCATGTGTAACATTCTTGATATAAATTAAGTACATATATATGCATATGTATATATATATATATATACACATGTCTGTGTGTGTGTATGTACTTATCTTTCCCCTCCACATGTTTTGCAAACAGAAAGTACTTGCTTAATAAATATTTGCTGATTAATTTGAGCTTCCCAGTTGATTCAAAAGAATTTTTAGCACCCTTTAAGTAGTCAGCTCTTTTAGCACAATTAAAGAATTGTGCTAAAAGAGCAGACTATTTAAAAGGATATTTTGATTTGTCTAGTTAGAAAATCAGTATTTTTGTCTTAGCTTTGTAGTATGCACCTGTATAACAATAATAACTGTATAACAGATTGGAATGTATGCTATTCCTTTGTATTTTGTCACTAAACTTGTTGTCAGCATCATTTGTGTAAAATCATTGTGCTAGATACTGGGGATAGAGACGCAAACATATGCAAAACATTGACCCAGGGCTTAACCCAGTTCACCCAGCTGTGATGACTCTTGAAATTACTCCACCTTATACTTCATGAGCTACATTTGACTTCCTAAACACTCTAGGGACAGACAGGCCAATTATGTCCAGGCTGTAGGATATCTGATATGTTTCTGTATTGGCCCCAGAGGTCTGGAGGACCCCCTCCCACTCCAACCTTGTTTCATTAGGGGACCTTCCCTGAGGGGAAGAAGGGTTCATGTTCGTTCAGGTGCTTACTCAAAGCAAAAATGACCCTGTAGAGTTACCATACATATACCAGCTGTACAGG